CACCAGATTCAGACGACGTGCCATCACGCCATTCACACAATCATCCATATTCCGTACTTGGTTTAAGAGAGACTCCATATCTTCCTCCAACATCGATAGAAGATCTCGATCTTCCCCAACTGGATCCTTTTCCAAAAGAATTTGATCTCTCAATTTTACATTCTCATTCAGTTTGACCAAATAACCAGAGATTTCCTCAGCAACATCAATTTCCTCTCGGTATTGAATATTCCACAAAACATGATCAAAGGGCTTTCCATCGACCTTATTTCTCAATGAACGTAATGCGTCTGTTTGACCCTGCTCTTGCAACATTTCAAGTTCCAAACGCCTTTGGTTTAGTCGAAGAAAATACTCTGTAACCAATGGGTGATGAATGGGATTTAAAAGAGCTCGAGTGCTTTCCTCGAGAAACCATTTATTATACGGAATAGGATTTTCGTGTGTGAGCTTCTTGACCCCACCTTGTGTTCCACCTGCACCAAACAAAAAGAATAATGCCTTCCGCATTATATTGTCTTGTAGCGGAAGGGTGAGAAAAGCAAAAAAAAAAAAACAGTCTAGATGGATCAAGATTATTACAAGCACATTAATGAATACAGAATAATATCAAATTTAAAGAACTTGGATGGCCTTCAACTACATCATGGGTTTAGTAATAAGTTTTCCGCCTGTATTTCTCTTCTTGTTCCTTTCCCTTCCGTCAATTATTGCGTTTAGGTGTGCAGTTCCTTTTTTTTTTTTTTTTATTTGCCAAAATTTCCCATTCTTGTCACTCTCACATTTCTTTAAATGGATGTACATTTCAAATATATATATATATATATATATATATATATATATATATATTATACATTTAAAAAAAAAAACATCTTGGTGATATATATATATTGGGGGATAACCCTGTTTACATGTCTCTAAATGATAACAATCTTGGAGTTCATAAGGTGTTATCCTGATCTGTGAACTCCTGAAACTGCTTGTACGTGATGTCACCGTTTTCATCTGCGCGATCGTCAAACAAAATAGACACCAACATATCTTCATCATCCTTTGACATATTGAAATGCATAATTTTATTGAGTGATTGACGAAAAACATCGCGATTCATTTTTGATGTGGTACTATAGCCTCCCAAAAGACGAAACTGCTCTTGTGTATTTCCCCTCCTCTGTATTAACTTTTGTCGCAATTCAACTGCCAATTTTTGCCTCCGTTTAGTTCTTTCGGCATTTGATGCAACCAATTTAAGCGATTCATCTTTAGACATATTGACGCTCTTCACAGAGCGTACCGTAAGTGAAGCCTCATCCATGTCTCCCGAAAAGGTGACATTCACTACCTTTAGAAACTGGTCAAATGAGATAACACCAGTACTATCTGGAGCGATATTTTTCACAAGTAAAACGGCCTCCTCATCGGTTATTGTGCAGCTACAAGAGCGTAAAAATTCACGAACCTGGCGGTAACCGAGAACACCATTGGGGGCAAGCGTGCAATAAGCTTCATGAACACGAAGAAACTTCAATTGTATCTGTTGTTTAAATAAAAGTAGTAAATCCCTCACTCGAGTTTCTGTAGCAGAGCTCTCCTTATCCTCCAAAATACGTTCGGTTTCATCAGTCATCGCAATGAGTTTAAAGGGTCGCTCCAAGACAATAACTTCCTTACCCACTTCAAAATCTTCAGGGGAATAAGGAACACTGGAGCCGTCAGGCATCCTTTTTTCATGTACCCCTTTAGCGAGAAATCGCCCAGCAATGAACCCCGAGTTTCGCTCGGGTATTTCAAAAATCTCAATTTCATCACTTGCACGATGAAACGAAACCAAAAATTTTCTTTTTTCATCCCCTGGAACCAGTGGTTTGGACAGTATAGCCAGAAAACGTAAGACGCGTCCCTCCTCTTTTTCTATTTTGGCAAAATCAGGTCTTTGGGGTCTTGCTGTCAATGTAATCCAGTTAGCGCGTTTTTCACGCTCACTACCAAACCCATTCGGTGGAGGAGGATAAAATTTGACAGGTGTTTTCAAATCAACTTGAACAAATGGATCAATATCAACTTTGGGAGCAAGTTCAATACCAAGTTTGTTTTTCATATATTCCCGTGTAAAAGAATCGGCGTCATAAATGTAATACGGTCTGCCATGAATGATGTAAGTTTCGTCAATTTGCATATCATCGGCCACAAGAAAGTCACGCTTCATTACTACACCGAATGTGTGTTCTTGAAAACGAGTCTTTTGAAGGTCAACACCAGGACGGGGAACTCTTTGGCGACCCAGAATTGTTGTACCACCATCGCGTCCAGAATTTTCAGGCCTTCTCTCTACAATTTCAAATGTATCATTTTCCAGATAAATACGAATAGCACAAAAACGCAAATCCCCTTTAAGATTTTCACGGTCATCCCACAATGCAAAAAAGGTCAAGTGCTCATTTATGTTATGCTTCAAAAATTTCTGTGCCGCAAGGATATCCTCAGTTGCATGTTTTGTGTAAATACCAGTTAGCTGCTGTTCAATGGCTCGCTTCCTATCCATATCATCAGAAGTGGCCAAGCGATGAGTACTCTTGGAACGCTGAGCCTCCATTCCGGTTCCAAATTTATCTAGTTCAGCTGGCCAGGGTAACGAGTCTGGAACTTCTTCCCCGCGTATTTTTTTGTAATACATTCTACTTCGCATATCCATATCCAAAATATAATATTTTCTTTTGAAAATTTCAATTGAACCCCCGATCTTAAAATCATCAAGTGTGATAAGTTCATTGATTTCATCCATCCTTTTCGGTACCTGTCGACGCGACAATATCTTTGACTGCAGAATGCCACTATTGTCTTGTTTCGCCTCTATTATTGAAATACTGTTGTCCTGTAAATGATAACGAATACAAACCTTTCTCACTATGGCTGTTTCAGTCGAAGATTCGGGAATGTTTTCAATAAAGTAAGCCAGAAAACGAACCACATAATCTTTTCCACCGTTTGGTACATCAAAGTTTGCAACGGTCCATCCATTAAATACATCCTCATCATCACTTTCCCCATCTACTGCAGTTTGTGTCCTCTTTTTCCCATCTCGGGTAAGACCACCTCCGTTGTAAATATACTCAGTATGAGGAGCGTAATCCACTTTTGGGGGCAGTAGAAGATTATGACTTTTTCGAAGAGTATTAAAGCAAATTGGATCATCATGAAAATTGGCACCTATGCACAAAGGGAGATTGTTTTCCAGTGTAAAATTCTCATAGCGGCGAGTAGGTTGAGTGCGCACCACACTGTTTTTCATGCCTTCAAGTTGCTTGGAATTAAACAGGAAAAAAAAAAAAAAAAATTGAGAAAACAAGGAAAATAAACATGAAAAGATGGCGTTTTATCGATCATTTTTAATTATTATTATTATTATTATTATTATTATTATTATTATTATTATTGTTTGCTTCTTGCAAAATTTCGTAATGTTGAAGATTGTGATAGGTGATAATTACAAAGCAATAAAAAAAAGGACAATAGAAAGTAAAAGAAAACTGTCTAAAACCCCCCTCCATAAAATAATAATAATAATAAAACAGGTTTTCTCACGGCTTTTTGTTGTTGTTTTGTTTTTGTTTTTGTTTTTGTTTTTGTTTTTGTTTTTTTTTTGGGGGGGAAGGGGAATGATGCATGCGATCTAAGAGAAAAGGCAATTATATATATATATATATATAATATATATATAATGTGAAAGGAAGTGCATCTCTAATATTTCGTTCTAAGAAACAAAAACCGCTGAAAGTGAAGGCATCTCTAATGAAGCCACATTGGCAAATTTTTGTGAAACATACTTTCGACGAATGGCTTGTAATTTTGAAGAAGAAGAAGACAAGGTTTTTGTGAAACTCAAAAGCTTTTCTGATAGAGAAAAAATTTCATCTAATGTTATTCCTCGACTAACATGAATCATTTCTCGATCCCATAGTTTTTCTTGTGAAATATTTGAGCGATCCAAAGAACGATTCCATGCCACAAGTAAACGACCAAGTAAAACCGAAGCAGCCGCAATACGAGAAGGCAAATATTGTAGCATCTCATAGTTGTGAGAAGCAGACTCCAAAAAGAAAAAGGTTGCATCACGTACCATTGCTTCAGTATCTCCAGAATCCAGAAAGTGACAAGCTAAAGGATACGTCGTGGGGACAGTAAATCGAAATCGCAATGTAAGCGCAATATCCCTTTCCATCTGAAAAACCTCCTCTGCAGAATAAGTATTTGCACAAATAAATACGCAATCTTTTATTCCAGGTGGCCATATCTCTTCGTGTTTTGCGGAGAGGAGAATAGCAGAAATGCCAACCAACTGAAGCTTTGCCCGACTTACCTTTTTGGCGCACAAATATCGATCTACAATGTCGATAGCCAGATAAAAAGACTCAGGATGAAGTTTAAATTTTATAGCCACATCAACAAGCCAATCCACAAGAATCATCCTCATTCTTTCAGTTACCTCAGGTTGATTCACCATATAACTCGGGTCACGATAATGACTCCTTTCCGCAACTAGAAGGTAATCACCAATTTCCGCGCTGTATTCAGGCACATATGCCGGACCCATAGTTAATTCATTGTGGCGGCAATGCTGGTTTCCGTCAACTCCCTTTGAAACAGCACTAACAATTCCATTTCTCCCAACGGGTGGCTGAGAAACCAAAGCAGGTAAAGGCTTTCGTGCTACATTAAGGCGGTTAGTCTGATCAGCAAAAACACACGTCTCTGCCATTTTCATTACCAATCCTACAATGCTGTAACAGAAGTAAAAAAAAAAAAACAAGAGAGAGAGAAAAAGAAAAAAGATAGAATCAAAATCAACAACACAAACAAAACCATAAAAAAGAATAAATAAAAAACACTCAACATATAAACTAAAAAAGAATATATTAAAAAGAAAAAGTCAAGGGTTTAAACAAAACAAAAAATTTATAAAAGAAAAAAATTACAAAAAGCAGACGGCTCTGTTGTCATAAATACTAATTAAATAATGCAGAAAGTAAATCAAAACAACAACAAACAAAAAATTTCAAACACTCCCTTATTCATCAGACGAACTAATAATAATAACAAAAATAGGAATAATCTTCTGGGCCGCTGGCTGGAACCTGAAATTATGTACAAAAACCAAACAAGATAAAGAAAAAAGGGGGTATCGAAGAGGTAGTCAATTGCCTCAGTGTTTTCCTCCGATAATATCCAAAAACATATATAAATATATATTATATACCGTTGACCGCTAGCGTGGCCTTTGCACTCAGTGAATGTACAAAATATTACCTCTTACGACGAGGCAGACTTTGAACTCCTCCAACCACAAGACCCCGCCGCGAGGTGGGAATCAAAAAGGAACTGAGTGAAGAAATACAATTAAACAATGGCGAACTATCAGGCAAATATCGGTTCCCCAATCCCAAAAAGACGTTATGTTCTTCCTCAAATTCACAACACAAAATAAAAACTAAAAAACGAATATATCCGTTTCA